CCCAGCGTATCTCGGCCGAATGCCGACGTGGTCCCGCCAGAGGCGGTGAAGCTCGCCCTATACAACGGACACATTATTTGACCATTACTGCTCTTTAAGTTGCTGCCACATAAATAAAGAAATATCACCCCGTAATCTATGACCAGGCGAAGTTACATTGAAATCAAATCGCAAATCGCGATGCGGGAAAACCGATTCGAAACCTCCTCTAGAAGTGGTTTGGGATCGAGGCGCTCTCAATGTGATTTGGAGCGTTCAGATGGAGCCACTTGAAACCGGCTTCGGGGTAAACCACATGTAAAGCGCCTTAACTGACTTCACGTGAACACGGCCAAAATCGCCGTAAACAGATTTGCTCTAACCATGCTCTAACGAACCTCGTTTTCTGACGCTCTACACGGCGATTAACAACGTTCGTCTGCCGTAATTGTCATACCGTTATGCCAGCTTAGATTTATGCACAGTGCGTGTTACAGCTAGCTTATTTCTGAACTGTGCGCTCCGTGTGTGTCAGAGATATATATGGCACAATTAACACCACGGGATGAACAGAAGCGCAACCTCTTGGGGGACGGTTTAAAAGAAGGCGTTGTTTATTACGTTACAGAAGGGCCGTTCCAAAAACTCTCTTGAGGGATTGCTTTGCAACACACACACCAGCTGAAATATCTCTAAGGCCACAGCAAGTAAATTTTACGGCTGACATCCTCCACAGACTCCAAAATTAATGCGATAGGGAAAAAAACAAGGCGGGCCAAAAAACAAGATTCGTACATTTTCAAATTTTTATATCATAAAGTTAAACCTTGTTAAACAAGAAATGATAACTATATTGTGCTAGTTTACTGCCAAGTATTACAACGTCCATCTGTCATCCAGTTCTGAAACAACTTTGAAAAATAAAAGTCTCCAATCATTGTACAAATGGTTTTGATTCAGTGGGAATATCACATACACACAGCCACCATCATATATAAAAGAATTAAATACTTCACTGCATCAGAGTGAAAGACAAAACGATAAATCAGAACCCTGTCTTCTCTCCTCTCTTCATATTTTTTTTTGCCATCCACTTTCCGGCATGGCAACAAACAGAGCTCACAGACCTACACTGAGACGGGGGGCGACACAAGTTATCTGGCACGTATGATCCGCTACTACGGTCACGTGTCTCTGACGTCACGGTTCCAAAAGTAGACGGGTCCATTCCGTGAACAAGGTTGAAGGGGTCAGCCAAAAATTTGGGGTAAGTCCTAATTCATTCCAGTGTTGGAAGGAAAGTTTAGTCTTTATTTCATAAAATTGTGCTGTGTTTTTTTTATTAAAGGCTATGTCAAGGAGATTTTCAAGTTACTCCCGCCCTCCCTCAGAAATCGTTCGGAAATACCCCCAATATCTGTAGATCCGCTAGCTTGACGCGGTTCGTATGCTAAACATTATGCACCGCGGCACACCGTTCCGTTCCACTACACCCAACCTTGATGCCGGGTGATTATACAGTACATCTCCACAGGGGACCGTTTAGAATGTGAGCTCGTAGCGCCGTAGCCTGGTATCCAGTCTGATCGTGGTCGGGGCCGTATTAAAGAGCTCTGGCCCGCCCGCCTCACATAGGTTTCCCGGTGTGTATCTCACGAGGGATTGATTAGCCCTCCACGATCGTGTTGGGGGGAAACCAAATCCCCAAGCATACTGTCTCTGATTAGCGTAACACTCCTACCGGGACGGTCTGTTGCACTGGGCGGGGGAAGCTCTTAGAGCCCCCGAAGACACAACCTGCCCGAACACCCCAATACCCCCAATCACGATCAGACTGGATACCAGGCTAGTAGCGCCGCGGATTTCACACGTAAACGCCAGGAAGAGCTGCGTGACGCCACGCTTTCTACACGACATACAACCTCTGTACAAATCCTATTAAAGAAATTACATGAACCAAATGATGACATTCACGGTACCAGTACAGTTAACTTTGTAATGTCGACGCGTTTTCTCAATTAGCTGACATTGACATTGGGCAGATACTTTCTTTGTATCTTTCTCAGCCAATTCAGATACAACTCGATCAAAAGACATGAGATTTCGTTGTTAACATATCCATTATCCAAATTGCAATGTATGTTTCCCCATTTCATACATGTTAGCAACACAGTTAAGTTCATATTTCTAATGGCTTCAGACAAACCTTCGATTATAAAACACATCTGTACTTATATCTACATCGTTACTAATAACCCAGTGGGTATTTGCGTACAATAAAGGTCTTCATTCATTGCCAATATCCTTGCTTTGCCCATCTGTGCTTGATTTCAGTTCATTTTCTGAAGCCCTGTAGAAGTTTCCGAGAAGGGTTGTTGGCTGTTGGAAAATGATTTTAAGGATATAAATGGCAAATTCTTAATATGGTTAAATAGGACGTTTCTAGAAACAGGGCTTAACTAGAAAGGTGACATTTGCATAATGTTTACCTTTACATTTGGTCTAGCCTAACAAACTACTCCTCTGTTTGTTGGTACTCAAACAACAACTTCATATACAATATGTGGTGAGCTGCCACTCTAGATCTGTTCCACTACATAGGTGTAACCCAACACCACAGGCTGTCTGCTACAGCACCAGTTACCATGGTGACAGACATCTAGACTACTACATAATGTAACCCAACACCACAGGCTGTCTGCTACAGCACCAGTTACCATGGTGACAAACATCTAGACTACTACATAATGTAACCCAACACCACAGGCTGTCTGCTACAGCACCAGTTACCATGGTGACAGCCATCTAGTCCGACCATTGACTTTATTTGTTTGGAGAAGAAGAAGAGGAAGAAGAGGAAGAAACGGAGCAAAAACAATATATTTTCCTTCTGCGAAGGCAAACATAAAATTGGTGCCTTCCACCCCTTTAGAACTTTTTGACCTGCCCCCACTAAAAGTCATGTAAAAGAAAATGACGGGTTGCATACACGGGCAAATTCATTACTGACTAGATAATAGGGGCCGTTTGATGTTCAATGCCCAGCCCCCACAGGCCAGTATTTACACGCCAATCGCCCACAGGCCTTTAAAAATCAATCTCTCCGCTTCTTCATGGGCAATTATATCGTCAATTGAATATCTGTCAACCGGCCTGGGGCGACTGGCCCTCGACCCGGCTGGAACTAATTGCCCGGTACGCGTTTCGTGAACGGTTTGCCTTCACAGAAGAGTGTTTTCCAATTTCTAAAGCACGATTTTGTGATTGCAACACCATTTCTTAAACCGTGGTCAGCGGGGAAGACGTGAACAAAAACTAGAATGAGAAGGGCGGCAAGACATATATGGATTAAAGTACAAGGAGTTCGTGATACAAGTATGTAATATTCCAGGTACATAGCTATAAAATCAGTCCAATTTGTGGAAATTTGTCTAACTGCGAATTTGGTGCTTTTTACAGCTATGCCGCTGCATTGTAGTGAAAGAGAAAAAGTCTGAAATAGTTAGTAAGATACATATACATATATTCATGTAAAGAAAATGATAACATACTGGGAGAAGGTACTAGAAACTTTGTCCAAACTATGCCCACAGAATTGTTAACGTTCACTCCATCTATATATACGTTCCAGCTGTTTAGTTCCCGGCCCCATTTGATAAGTCCACGCACCTTACGCCAAGTGTAGCGTATAATAAGAACGGTTTGCCATATTGTGTCTCCGTCTCGGCTCTTCCCGCATGACGGATCAAACGGAAACAACACTTATCGCGGTGATTGTGTGTACGTGACGGGCTTCGGTCATTAAGACAGGGAGATGCGTGACTGAAGATGTTGTCGGATCGTTGTCTTAGACTCTAGCCTGGTATCCAGTCTGATCGTGGTCGGGGCCGTAAGAGCTCTGTCCCGCCCGCCTCACATAGGTTTCCCGGTGTGTATTTCACGAGAGATTAATTAGCCCTCCACGAACGTGTTGGGGGGAAACCAAATCCACAAGCATACTGTCTCTTATTAGCGTAACTCTCCTACCGGGACGGTCTGTTGCACTGGGCGGGGGAAGCTCTTAGAGCCCCCGAAGACACAACCTGCCCGTACACCCCAATACCCCCAATCACGATCAGACTGGATACCAGGCTAATCGTTGTCATCCTCCCCGCCTATCTAGTGTATTAACGATATCATCCTTACATATGCAACAGGGATCGTAACGCAAGTGCGGATTTCTGCTGTAAATCTTGTGGAATATGTGACTTTAAGACGCCACAGGGGATTATTAGGCTCCTGTGCAGACTTTTCTATACAGCGGTACCGTCTGCGTTAGTTTTCTTGTTTCTTTCCGGGGGGAGGGCAGTGTCTTATAGTCTGGAATCCCGCATTGTTAATGTGGGGGCGAACCAAAACTAATTAACAAGAGGGGATTGCAGGCTAGGTATCTAGGGTCGGAAAGTCTGCTTGCATTCAATGCCGATTTAGCTTCTCCCCGATACAGACCCCCGTACACACACACACATCCCCCCATACAGCTACCCTAATACAGATCCGTCCCCGATACAGTTCTCCCAATTAACGAAAAACCATCGCCACACACCGCTAGAAAAGTCTACGTACGAGGTTAGCCAGGAGGATCGTCGTGTGTGCGTATATAAAAAAGAACGCAGACGAACGCCCGCTCGCGTGCTAAGGAGTTATTGGAGGCATTGCCTGTGATTACATGAACGGATTGGGCAATTTGGCGATTCATTTCAAACAGGCACTCCGCCCCATCTGGAGAGGACATCGATCCGGTGATACCGCTCTCTGCGGGGCTGGCACGCGGCGAGGAGGACTTTCATGCCGCCTACAAAGTGTCAACTGTCACGTCATTCAAACCGGAGGTGCGAGAGAGTCCCGGCTTCAAATGGCATCAGGGAGCCGGGAGACCGTGTCCCGTCAACTGCTAACCCCCGCTGGGCTCGGAAGGGTGAGAAGATTTGAACCGGAGCAGGTCGATTGAGCGCCCTTCTGATACCTGGAGGTGGCGTGAAGACGTCACGGTAGTGGGGAGAGCGTGGGCTGCCGCGGAGTCAGACCATCGAGCCGCCGGCAATCGCTGGGCGGGAAGCATGGCTTCTGTGACCTGCAGCAGACCGAGGAGAACCCGGCTGTGGTACGGCGTGTTCGGGTTCACAGCCGCCTTACTGCTGTCCTCCACCCTCCTCGTGCTACTCTGGCTGCTGTCGAACCAGAGAGACTCCATGAGTGAAACTGTACCCCGTGCTAACATCCGGGACATCCCCGTGGTTTCCATGGAAACCAAAGATTCCGTCAACCTTGCCTTCAGCCAGAGCGGCGGGTACGTGAAGAGAACTTCGCTGACCAAGTGGCGGAAGGTACGCCGGCGGGGCAGGAGGGAGAACGCGCCCATAGACGACGAAGACTACGTTGGGGATGAACAGCGGGATATCCACTGACTCTTCTCGATAGGACTCCCTTGGAGAGTTTTTACGATGCCAGGCCATGCTGAACTGCCCTAGTATGATCTAGTATCTACATGTTAAGGTACCGAACGTGTTGTGTAATGGCTACCATGCAAGTGTTGGTCGTAGTAGCAGAAACAGTGGAGAATCGTAGCCTCCACCAGGCCTTTCTACGGGAATACGGATCGTAGAATTCGGCGAAAAAGAGGATCAAATTGGCCAAGGGAGTCCGGCCGCGGGGAGATAGTTTCGTTCCCTCCGAAGGCATAGTCAAACCCCAAGGCGGCCAAACTCCCCTGGCAAATATTCTCCTATATGTATAGCCAGCGTAGTTAGTCTGGTAGAGACTAGGAGAATCGTTGGATTGACACTTCCAGGGATGTAACGCCGTCCACGGTACGGGAGTATGCCTGTCCTTGGTGCTGAAAACATGGTTACCTTCCACCGGTCGGTTGTTGTTTTCCTACGGCTCCATTACTCAAACACTCCACGCGCAATACCGTAACTACCAACGTGAATTCACAGGATGTAAAAGTCAATGGTCTTGTTTTAGTGGTTTATATCTGTATACATTGCCTCTTAAATGTGTGATTCAAATACTCGTTGTAAGCTCTATACTAATGCTAATACGCACCCTCTTAGTAATAAAGTTCATAATATTAGATTCTGTGCTTGTAGTTTTGTGTACGTCCTTGCGCTTTTACTCTCATCTTTGTAAGTGACAATTCTGAAGACTTTTTATCCGTGTAGCATTGCAAAACGGCCGGAAACTGTGGAAGAAAATTGAATGTGATTCTTTATATATAAGGCCCCACCACGCCTATACTATCTACCATTTAGCGATGGAATAAGTAGGGTGTGTGCGAAAAGTTCCAATCAGGTGTTAAAACGAAACAAAATATTGCACAATCGGTTGAAGTTTGGGAACGAAAAAGTATTTTTAAGAATTCAAAACTGTCTCTCTGAATAAATAAAGAAATAAATCAGCATCCCCGACACAAGCTTTTTCTCCGTCTGGGGTACGTTTTTACTGACATTACGCCATCAACATGACAAAAGTAGTTCCATTTCCTTTACGAGTGGAGCAGGCCCGAAGAATAAGTTCCCAGAAATACGAGAGAGCATTTCACGAGTCATTACCTACGGAAGTACAACGTTTTCAGTAAGCGAGACTTTTAGTACGATCATATTTCCCACAGGAAGTAATGATGTACACGGCGCCGGGAATCTAGATTCATGAAGTACGTTCATGTACTCACGGCTCTAGCCTGGTATCCAGTCTTACGTGATTGGGGGTATTGGGGTGTTCGGGCAGGTTGTGCCTTCGGAGGATCTAATAGCTTCCCCCGCCCAGTGCAACAGACCGTCCCGGTAGGAGAGTTACGCTAATAAGAGACAGTATGCTTGTGGATTTGGTTTCCCCCCAACACGATGTTCGTGGAGGGCTAATCAATCTCTCGTGAAACACACACCGGGAAACCTATGTGAGGCGGGCGGGACAGAGCTCTTTCGGCCCCGACCACGATCAGACTGGATACCAGGCTATCCCGGCTCCAGCTATGGGACGACAAGGAACTACTTCTGCGTCTAGCCGGAGCGGCATTATGGTTTGTTGCCGCGAATGCGAACTCAATAAATATTCTAGGGACCATTTTCGTTTTACGTAGGTTGAGATACAGCCTTGTTTAGCTGAAATATGTTTTCGCTCGGTGAAGCAAATGTTTCTTTTGAGACTAACACTGTCATTCATCACAATCCCCACCTGACGCAAAATGTTGTTTTTCAAGAGTGTAACTATTGTTGCATTGACTTGCTTTACGCCATTCAAGCGAATGATTATGTATCTTAGTACATATATTTTAATACAGTTTAAAAAAAACTGTATATAATAAGCCATTACGGTTGGTCTATGGTTGCTTACCATAACAGATAGCCTTGTAAAAAGATATCGCATTGTCATAAAATTGAAACCTACTACAGAAAAAAGTAATGATATGTAAAATTCAGAGCTGTCTTTGTGTCATATGGTCATATGGCAAGACTTCAACTACAGTAATACTGTAAGCAAAGAAAATGTATGTCGAAAATCGACGATTTTCAAGTATATTCCTATCGCGTAAATATAGTACCACGACAAGAATATGCATAGATAGTCGTAACCGTTTTCCTCAACATATCAAATGTAAGACTAATGACTTCAACTTATAGGCAGACGAGATCATGTACGAGCATCAGATAAAGCAATTTATATGCACATCACTCGCATATTGGAAGCGCTGTATTTTTAGATATTCCTGTCTCAAAGATGATGAAACAAGTGCCGTGCTGAATGAAGAATTTGTCTGGACTCAGGGGATAAAATTTCATCCTGTTCTAGTTAAAACAAGACTGGTAATGAAAACATACATTGCCATGGCGACGGTGGTTGCTGTTAGGGTTATAGTTTGCATGACACTGCTATCATTTCATGATTTTGAGGAAGCCTTGTTGGTACCTGTTAGTGTAGACAGATACAGTGCACTCCTCCCCTGAGTGTATAGTGAACGAGCCCTGGGGTCACAGAAAGTAGGGCCATCCGGGGCAGAGAGGTCTTCTTCCCAAGGGTTTCCAGGAATGTGGGCATAGATGTGAGTCAGAGACATGCCTTTGGACATTCCATTCCTGTGGACAAAATTCCTGTACCATTCCTAGAATTCTTGCAAACTGCACACAATACTGTACCATTAGGCTCCTCCCTGAAACGTCGCCAAAAACCTTTTCGCAGGTCTCTATGAAAGTCTAGTCCGCCAAAGACAGACCAGATTTCGTATTTTGCCGCCCAGCTCACCCATGTGTATCCCCCAGGTCAACTAGTTTGACCGCTCTTCAACTGTGAGGAAACCGGCTAATGGCTCCCGTGTTCCCACACCCCCGCCGTGCATCGAAGCGCAATGACGCGAGGACTACTAAAATTATTTCATAAATTTTACGGGTATGGATGGCGCCGCCATCCTTCTGCGTTTGAGTGTGGCATTTTATATTTTGCACGGCCGATGGCCATACGTCAATGATATATGCTGAGTTTAATGACTCGGAAGCCTACTATTTCAATATTATGGAACAGGAAATAATACTAAAAGGAACCATGTCTGTAAAAAAGTTAACGGTACCTAATGTATACTTCATACCGCGTAAGTTGCTGTTTACAGGCACCTTGTTGGATGGGGGTAAAAGAAACAAAACTATATTACGTTTTCAAAACAAATAAACAAACATCACAATGGTTTAGGCTTAATTTAATTTTTCTCCATTTCTTATGCAAGAAAATTATGTACACATCTTGAATTTACCACAAATTTATACAATTTTAAATTTCAACATCTCCTATGTTGCAATTTTTCTGGCGATGCAGCTTCTCTAAGTTCTCTGCCTTCACTAACATTATTTTTCAAAAATACCTTTGAAACAGATAATTTTACTTGGCAAGTTTTCCTGGTTCACTTCGATTCAACCATACTTATAACATACAACAAAACATTCAAATGGTAGCTAGTTTCCCTGTATTTGAAGAAGATTTTGTAATTTCAAGATCCTCAAGGGGTAAGGGTGACCAAACTTTGTTTTCTGTTCCTACCCACAAAACAGAACAACTATAACACAATTTTATCTTGACACATGATAAAACAAAATGATAATTACAGCTTTAACTTGTTTCCATACGAAAAATGGTAAAGAAAGAACAAAAATGTGATAAGATCTGAAACAAATTATAGGAATTATATTCCATGTATTGTGGGCTCTTCCATTTGAAAAAGTCAAATGAGATAGTTATGACTACTTTTGACCCCTCTATTCCTTTTCATTTATATTCCGAAATTATCATATATTAAAGTTGCATACACATATTAATAATTTCTAATTATCCTTTAAGTCTTTTGAGATGGAATAGCCTTAAAGGAACAAAATTTTTAAAAAATCAACAATTCAAATCAACATTACATACAATACCTGAAAATTCACTCACAGACTCACTGTCCAGTACTAGTATATCATCCGAAAACTTGAATAAATACTACTATGTATATGATCTAGAAATCATGTTACCATGATTATTGATCAAACTCAAAGACCACCTTTACATAATCTATCAACTAAAATGTTTAAGTGTAGATTAATTCATTAATTACTATAATGTAAATCAAAGGATACAATATGTATCAAACAAGTTGGACCCAGTTAGATGAATTTGAACACATTACTGTGCACAAAGAACTCATTATGTTTATCTCATTCTGGGCATAATGCTCTTATTCTTTCCTTCATATTCACTTCAATTACTATAGACGTTATATCTTGAATTGCACACAATAATAAGTATATGATGCACATACTTCATATCTACATGTATGAAAACAGAAAGTACTGAAAGTTGTAGTTGCGGTAGTTTCATCTTTGCAGCGAAGTCTAACCATATCTTCACCACGCTGCAAATATGTGCTGTCTTGCATTTCGTTACTACCATTGATTCAACATTAAGGCCACACCAATTTAATTTGTTGGTTCTCGGATTTTTTCAGAAAAAATATGAAGGGACAGGGCAAAAAAAAATAAAAATAAAAACAGGTGTAGGCATCCTATTATAGGCTTAAATGCTATGAAATGAGCCATGAAGTCAACACAAAAGGCTGGATTAAAATTTAAACATTGAATTTTGAACTTTTAATCATACCACTGCAATGATAGATGGGAAAACTGTAACAACTAGGAAGAAAAGGACTATCTTCAACTGTTCGGGGCAAAACATAAGCATTTTTCAGTTGATTTCAGGACCAGAATCAATTTTTTTTTTGCAAATCAGAAAAAAAAACGAAGAGGCGAATCCGAGAACCAACAAATTAAATTGGTGTGGCCTAACCATGAACTTACCACACTGCAAATTTGCCTACTGTGAAATCAAATCCCTGCAAACTTAAAAAATGAGTTACAGTATGCAGAAAGCCACAGAATGCAGAATGTTGACAAGAACCTGAGTTGGACACAATACAGTGCAATTCCCATAAATGCAGCACAACACATCACAACTTACTGCCAGTGGTCAATTTTTGACCACCGCAGGCTAGGGTATGTACATGTATGCTCTTACCACCAAAGTACTGTAGTCACTGAAGATACATGCCGGTAGTGAATGCTACCTGAAACATCTGACCGTTTTCAAAATCTACCCACCTGCTCAAGCAACTGTTACTTTGGTATCTTAGGCCACACCAAGTAAATTTTATGGATGACGTCCGCGCGCGCATTGATTTGGGCCTGATCTTAGGAAAAAAAACAAGAAATTCCGCTTCCTGTAACTATGACCAAAGAGTCATGACAGTGCCGCAAATCACCAGATTGATGTGAAACCCGTAACGCGAAAAAAGTGGACCATCCTGTCAATAACAGAAAATTTGCACTATTGCCAGGACCATCCTGTCAATAACAGAAAATTTTTCACTGTCCACTGTTCCACCTGATTTATTGCTGTTTTGATGATGAATAAAAAGACTTCTTGCTTGTTACACTGTGTCACCTCATTTAATTTGTGTCCTAACATTTGTCGTCTCTTAGTTTATTTTTAATCTAGGCATCTTGTTTCTTAGGGCCCTTCTTGTTTTTTTTTCGCCCTCTTGCATTAGATTTAGGGTCTCCAAAGGACGTCATCCATAAAATTTACTTGGTGTGGCCTTACTAGTACTAACTGGATGTTTAACCTTCATCAATGCACCAAAGTCATGTTTTACTCATTGATGCTAACACATAACAATGCAAGCACTGGGTATCAATTGGCACACATATAAATAGGTCAGAAACACAGAAATATTGAAATTTGTCTTTCTTATGCCAAGAAGTTTTAATACTAGGTATCCCATTAAACCTCCTCGGCTACAACATGACGTTTGCTTTGCTTTGGCAAATGTCTTAAGGTGTCCTCCCTGGCTAATTTGGCATTTTAGCTTTCTCGTTTTCTCACAAAGAAATTTAGAAAGAACTGTAGTTGTACTGAATATTGATACCTGGGTACATAAGGATTATGAATATGATTTTATGGACCATGTGGATGACGTCATCACATTTTATTGCCCCAAATGTAATCATTTTTAAAGTTATAATGTAGCACTTGGGTACAAGTAACTAAAATAAAAATATGATTTTCATGTGCATAATGGTGAAAGCTACAAACGTACGTTTGCACAAATTGATATCTTCTAATTACCCGTAGTTATTAGAGAATAACTAGATTTTAATTAGGCAATTAGGTTATTCTCTAATAACTACAGATGATTGGTAGATATCAATTTGTGCAACCGTATGTTTGTAGCTTTCACCATTATGCACATGAAAATCATATTTTTATTTCAGTTACTTGTACCAAAGTGCTACATTATAACTTTAAAGACAATTACATTTGGGGCAATAAAATGTGATGACGTCATCCATATGGTCCAAAAATCATATTCATAACCCTTTTGTACCCAGGTATCAATATTCAGTACAACTACAGTTCTTTCTAAATTTCTTTGTGAGAAAACGATGGAAAGCTAAAATGCCAAATTAGCCAGGGAGGACACCTTAAGGACTTTTCAGCAGTTTGCAGGTCAGAAAATCATTTTATGTGTTTCCAGGTTACACCACATCAGCTTTCCTCTTCAATTGGTTCGTAAGTATTTGCTCTGCCTCTGCCCCTGTTGATGGAAAATAAACTAGTGAATATATAATTATAGCAAAGTCAGCAACACACTGTTAGAACAAACAATGGTCCACTTACTGGGTTTGTGTAATACTATATATGTGTTACTTGCTGAAATGACTGTTACCACCTAGCAAGCATTAAAGAAATAGTGGCAATGGTTTCTGAACAGTTTTTAATATGATTTATACTTCCTAAATTCTGAGTGGTGCAGGTAAAATCTGTATGGTGCAGATAATTTCCAGATATTCCATATTCATTGTTCCAGAATTTCCGAAGCTGGTGTGTTACGCCGAAAGGCGGTTATACCGGCTATACAGATACAGATACAGATAATATACAAAAATATACAACCATCATATTTCGCGCCCTGCATGCTATATACTTTTGTTGCTTCCATAAATAAGAGAAACCTATTATAGGGCCGAGAAAAAAATGTTGTGTTTCCTGTTTCAGTCTTGAAAAAAATTATGGTCTGTAGGTAGGGATTATCTTTTTCTTTTAGGACTTTGGCAATCTTTAGTGACCCAACTTATACAATACAAGAAACTAAGTGCATTAGGACACTTTCATTTTCAATGCCAATGTTGGAAAACTGATTATACAAGGTTTCATCACTCAGGTGTCGGATCATGGAGCAAGAAAAGGTTAATCAGCTTGAAAAATGTATGTCCCTTGCAGAGGTTCACCCCAAAAAAGACTAGGGTCGGCAGTTTTTCTAGGGTCAGTCGTGAAACAGGAAACACAACATTTTTCCCTAAGGCCACACCAATCTTATTTCTTGGTTAACGCCTTGGCCCGCTTCATTTTTTTCTGACTTGCAAATAAAAATAAAAATTCAGAATCAACTGCAAAATGCTCATATTTTGCCCTGAACAGTTGAAAACAGTCCTTTTCATCCTAGTTGTTACAGTTATTCCATCTTTCAATACAATGGTATCAGTAAAAGTTAAAAATTCATTGTTTAAATTTTGAACCAGTCTGGTGTGTTGACTTCATGGCTCCTATCGTACCAGTTTGGGCCATAATAGGATGCCTAGGCCTGTTTTTATTTTTAATTTTTTTTCGCCCGCCCGCTCCATTATTTTTCTAGAAAAATCCGTTAACCAAGAAATTAAATTGGCGTGGCCTAAGCCTAAGCATGACCTTACCTCCTACAGCAGCAGAAGATACTGTATGCTGTCTCCCCCTCCAGTCTGTAACACCCTGACTCTGGTCTGTCCTCACAGCACTCAATAAACTCATGCAGGTCTGTCTTAGGGAAGCCGTTCTCCTGGTAATCCTGTATGGACACACATGCACACGCTGATAATATAAATAAATGGTTTTTATTGTCCAAACTGTACCCCTGCAGTCGCAGCCTTTATATGGCTGAATTGATGCAGGGTATCACATAATAATCAATACAAATCACAACAATTACAACAATCAAATAATACACATGATACACATATCTGTTCCACAATTATTTTTTTGTGGAACTGTCGCAACGGTGTGTGCGGCTGCCATTCGGCGCCACAAGGTGACCTCAATACGACTTTCCCCAACCGAAGTTAGGTACCCATTCACACCTGGGTGGAGTGAGGAAAGTCGTGTTAAGTGCCTTTCCCAAGGGCACAATGTCGGGCGCATGTCCAGACATGTACCGGGTACGACTCGGAATCGAACCCGGGTCTCCCCGGTTCATAGTCAATTGCTCTAACCACTACACCACCCGACGACACGCTTGAATCTATACTAGATATTACTCCAAGATAGATGAAAAATGTCCAATACTTAGTATCTACATTGTAATACCAGGTCAGAAAAGAACAATTATAATTATCATGTCTTCAAGTATCAGAGTTGACTGAGGTATTAAAAAACTGTAACTATTACCGTGGAAGTCATTGCCACCAGTACAGTAGGGGCATCATCACTTAGTCTAGATAGTTTTGCAGGTGTGCAACAGTGTATCTTAAAACCCTTGTCCTGCGGGACCCATATATATATAGGTTGCACATACAGTATCATCTATATAGTGCCTGTGTATGTACCATTTGGGGGTGTTTCTCGTGCAACGCATCAAACCGCAGCGAAACGCAACGAATGCGGAAGTAACTACACCATCGAGGGGCAAAAAAAGTCAAGGGCCTGTGACCTAATTAAGACTTCAAATTATTTGAAAATATTGTGTAAAAAAAGTCCAGCAGGACAAGGGTTAAGTCTTTCTACAAAAGCATACAAGGGTAATAAAAGCTGAAGTATACTATACATACATGTATTACTATTACAAAATGCTAAAATGCCAAGTTGGAAATCCCAGTTTAGGTTTACTACTCAGGGCTAGAAATTCATTTATGGGAATAGGTGCACTGGTGCACCCAACCTAAAATATTAGGTGCACAAAAGTTTTTTGGGTGTGCCATATAAAACAAAAACTAACTACAGATCTTACTGCTCCTCTTATGAGAATTTATTATTTTTCTGACACTTGTATGCCAAGAATATCCTGCATACTATTATACATTTGATATGTACAAAAATACATACAAAAATATTTGGGTGCACTGGTGCACCCACAGAAAAAAAATGGGTGTACAGCTCCAATTTTGGGTGCACTACAGAAAAAGAATTGGGTGCACAGCTCCAATTTTGGGTGCACTACAGAAAAAAATTGGGTGCACAGCTCCAAATTTGGGTGCACTACAGAAAAAAATTGGGTGTACAGCTCCAATTTTGGGTGCACTACAGTAAAAAAAATGGGTGCACAGCTCCAATTTTGGGTGCACTACAGAAAAAAAATTGGGTGCACAGCTCCAATTTTGGGTGCAGTACAGAAAAAAATTGGGTGCACAGCTCCAATTTTGGGTGCACTGCAGAAAAAAAATTGGGTGCACAGCTACAATTTTGGGTGCACTACAGAAAAAAATTGGGTGCACAGCTCCAATTTTGGGTGCACTACAGAAAAAAAATTGGGTGCACAGCTCCAATTTTGGGTGCACTACAGAAAAAAAATTGGGTGCACAGCTCCTCCAATTTTGGGTGCACTACAGAAAAAAATTGGGTGCACAGCTCCAAATTTGGGTGCACTAAGGTGCACATGCACCCAGTATTTCCAGCCCTGCTACTGTACCTTGACAGCCTCGTACACATCCATAATGATGGAGATCATCATGGACAGGACCACGTAGATGAAGAGGCTGATGAAGATGTAGAGGTAGAACCTGCTGTACAGCCAGGGCAGCCAGCTGGTCTGACCCATCTCATAGAACGTGGCAAACATGTCGTCACCGTTGATGAGCGAGTACATGCACTCTGACGCTGTGTTCAGGGTACGGAACTGCAGGGGGGTGGAGAAACCTTGGTCACTGAATAATTCACAAATTATTTTACCAGGTTGGCAAGAGCCTTAAAGGCATCCACTGTAATTTCAGGGCAGCCAAACGATGAGGAAGTCTGTTTAATATTATTAGAATATATAATAGAATTGTTCAAACATATCATGACATCCAAGCGCTATTTGTTCATACATGTTTCAAAAAGACAGAAGAGATCCTGTAGTTAGATCCTGTTGACAGAGAGGTAGCACACAAATGTAATAATTGCTTATTCTTGTACCCAAGTTATTTAACTCAAGTGCATTTGGCCCATATAGGGTGTGTATATGCAATAAAGTTCATTGTCATTTTCATTGTCAATATTGAAATTTACTGCCATTTTTTAGCACATTTTCATCATCGTTTCATACCTGAAGTATTTAAAATAGACAAAAAACAGCTACTTGTGGAGTCCCATCATTTTTGGTACCACCTATAAATAGCTAGAACCAGCCTATAGTACAAAACAAGCTACCGTTTTTCATCAGTGACATCGTATTTTTGCTTAACAGTATATTGTGTCATGTCCTATGGGACAGGACAATTTGCATACTAGTATTCTACATGTTTATCTGACAACAGTCTACATTTGGGACATTCACAGTGTGTAACATTTTGAACATTACATGCCATACCTCCCCTTAACTCACCTTGATATGGTACGGCCCAAGGATAAGCCAGCCAGCGAAGGCGAATCCCATGTACAGCAGCGTTGCACAGAGCAGGAACCGAAGCACATTGGGAGCCGATGCCTTCATGGTCAAGATCAAGATCTGGGGAATAAAGACAACAACTTAACAAAAGTTTATAAAGAACTAGACACTGAACAAGACTATTTCCTGAGAGGGGTGAAGGAAGCCATATACACCAGGCCCTATCACCCTTCACTTAACCGTAACGGGGGCCGACATTGTCTACCAGATACCTTTGACCCAGTGTTGACGTCACACTTCAAAGAAGCCACGTGACAAGCTTCACTTGGTCAGTATACTGAGGAAGACCAGAGTGACTGGTCGAAAGCTCAAGGTGAGAGAATTTTTTGGGGTTGGACCAAAAGTTTTAACTTTAAACATGTAACTACCAACACAGATGAACTTTCATGATAGTATAAGAACTCGAAAGGTAACGTTTGTAAAGCAAATGCATCATGTTAACCTTCACATGGCCTAGCTTAACAAAATGTATTGTTCATTCTTACTCAAACACATTCATGATATATATGGTGACCCTCTTGAACTCAGCTCCTCATGGCACTTGCAACATTAGGTAACCCAATACCAGTTACCATGGTGACAGACATCTGGTCCTGGTCATTGACCTTATTTATTAGGAGAAGAAAAGGGAGAAGAGGAAGAAGAAGAAACAGAGCAACAACAATATGTTTTCCTTCTGTGAAGGTAAACATAATTCTGACCCTCCTCCTGACTTGAGTGCTTATTTAACCACAAAACAAATACATAAATCATGTTTTCCTTCACATGGTTTAGCCTAACAAACTACTGCAGCTCTGTTCTGTTTATTCTTACTTAAACGCATTCATATTCACAGTGAACAGCCTCTCCAACTCTGTCCTGCCACTTGCTACATAATGCCATCCAACACCACAGGCTGTATACTACATCACCAGTTACCATGGTGACAGCCATCTGATTCAGGTCATTGACCTTACATTTGTTTGGAATGGCAGATGAGAAAGAAGAATGGTAACAAGGCTGAGGCAATAAAAATCATTGCCAAGGCAATGACTGAAAGATACATATTACTTCATGTGGTGGAGCTAGCAATCTTCATTACAATTATAAGAAAAACAGATGACCAGTAATTAATCATGCCAGGCAGCTGGATGGGTGGCACGTGGGCACCAGGGTGTAAGTTACCTGCTTGGTCCAAAAACCACATGGCAGAAGGTTACCTCAAAACCAATTCCCTGGGGAACGCATTCGTACAATTTTTGAAATTCTTTCAAAGCGATCGTAGTACTTGCACAAATGCCTCCGCCCCAAAGGCGTCGCCAAAAATAATGAGAGTTGAGGCTTACGTTGTATTGTCTGAAGAAGTTGAGGTAGTTGAGCACCCCTACCCACACCAGCAGGGCAGCTGTCCCCAACATCAGACTGCAAGTGTCGTACAGGTCAAAAAACCCTACGAACTGCATGGAAAACTTTCAATGTAGAGAGAAATGTACTTGTTGTCACAAAAATATCAGAAACTTTCACAGTTGGAAACCATCAGGATACTGATTCAGAGGTATCATATTAAAAAAAAGAAAAAAATGTGTTCAAATCATATGATTAAAAGATTTTCTTTTACCACAGATGAACCTCCCCCAATCTGATGGTTAAAGAAAGAAATAAAAAAATATGATTCATTGCACATTCCAAACAAAAAGAAATTACAGTAAATTGCATTACCTAGTCTAAAAAAAAATCATATGCATATGCATTGGCTAATACAGTAACTGTAAACAAATGTTGAGTACTAGTAGGAACAAAGCATGTATCACAAAATGTATCACAACTGAAGTATCACTATCAGCATCATTTAAGTGACAGGATTAGACAGAATGAAGAAAGATGAATCTTATCATATTCTACATTTGTTAATTTCCCTATGTTACTACTACTTCAAATTATAAATCTTTATAAAAATCTACATATATCTCATTTGCATATTTGGGACGTTTCAAATGAGGCAAGAATCTCTGACTGTACCTTGTTTTCAATGAGGACCTTGATGACCCCTCCTGAGCAGGTCAGCATGTCACTGATGACGATCATGACGTACCAGAAGTTGAGAAACTCCATGCGGTCAGCAAAACTCAGGTCCTTGTTGTAGTTGATTTGGAAGAAGTGAACAAATTCCTGAAAAGACACCATGTTATATTTAATATGTATCTTCATACAGTAGTCCCGGAGAGAACAATACATGGTTTCAGATCAATTTTGTACATTAGCACAATAATCTTATTTTGTCAGTGGCTTGCTTATAAAGATACATAAGGTATCTCCTTTCACTGTGTTCATTGGGCCACACTAATTTAATTTCTTGGTTATCAGATTTTTTTAGAAAAATATGAAGCGACAGGGCAAAAAATAAAAAAAAAATGAAAACAGATCTATTATAGCCTATTACAACCTATTATAGCCCCAAATGCTATGATAGGAGCCATTAAGTCAACACAAAAGGCTGGGTTAATATTTAAACAATGGATTTTGAACTTTTAATCAAACCACTGCATTAAAAAACTGTAACAGCTACATGTAGCAAAGAAAAGGAATTTCTTCAATTGTTGGAGGTAAAATATGAGCAATTGTCATTTGATTCAGAACCAGAATTTTTTTGCATATAAAAAAAAATGAAAAGTTGAATCCAAGAACCAACAAATCAAATTTAACACCTCAGCCCAGACCAAATTAACATATTATATAATGTGTATTTTAAGTATTTTAAATATCTTTCTCCTGCAAATTTCCAACAAATAAAATCTTTCCTGTTTCTTATGTAAGGCCACAACGATTTAATTTTATGGATGACATCCTCTGAAGACCCCCAAAATAGTGCGCGCGGGCGATTAAAAAAAAATTCCGGCCAAAAATAAAAATTCTACTAAACCACAGGAATACAAAGCTGGTATTGTGAATTTGCGGCAGTACTTAGCAACGTATACGGCATGCTGGCTTTTTGTGGCATTTATTATGAATCGGTACTGTACTTATGTACTTTCTTGAGTCGCGGAGCTTCGAAATCGATAGCCTGGGTGCTCGGCTCCGTATTGTCGCTAACTACCATGGACTACCCAGGCCTAGAGCCAGGCCAGAGCCTCGGTGGACGTAATTTTTTTTTTTTTTTTTGAGGGCGACAGGCGAAATTCAATGCGCGCGCGGATGTCATCCATAAAATTAAATCAGTGTGGCCTAAAATGAAGCCAGCTATTTTTATCATCCTCAACTGAGGTGAATCATGATGCTTTTTTTTAGTAGCTACTAGTGCAATGTGGCTTCCCTACAGCTTGCATATTGAACCAAGCACACCATATCACCCCCACTCTTTTTGGCGACGTCTCAGGGAGGAGCCTAATGGTACAGTATTGTGTGCAATTCGCAAGAATTCTAGGAATTGTACAGGCATTTTGTCCACAGGAATGCGGAATGTCCACAGGCATTTCTCTGACTCACATCTATGCCCACATACTAATACCCAGATTCCTGGAGCCCTGAAGATCTGTCTGCCCCAGATGGCCCTACTTTCTGTGCCACGGGGCTCGTTCACTATACACTCAGGGCAGGTGTGTACTGTATCTGTCTAGACTTTTAAGACAGGTACCAAGTCTTCCTCAAAATCATGAAATGATGGCAGTGCCATGCAAACAATAGCCCTAACAGCAACCACTGTCGCCATGGTAATGTATGTTTTCATTGCCAGTCTTGTTGATAAGTGTGTTGGTGACTCTCCCTTACATTTTTCAGCTGCCAGGCCTTGATGAGTGAGCGCAGACAGAGGATACAGGACATCAGACTTGTCCCCACCACCACCAGGTCAAATATGCTGATGAGGTTAAACCTCCAGGTCAGGGGCAGTATGGAACCTAGCAGGGACAGAAAACAACTCACTTGTTTGGCATACTATCATGAAAGTTCATCTGTGTTGGTAGTTACATGTTTAAAGTTAAAACTTTTGATCTAACACAAAGAAATCTCTCACCTAGAGCTTTCGACCAGTCACTCTGGTCTTCCTCAGTAGATTGACCCAGTGAAGCTTGTCACGCAACTGCTCTGCCCCCACGACGGGGGCCGACATCGTCTACCAGATACCTTTTACCCAGTGTTGACGTCACACTTCAAAGAAGCCATGTCACAAGCTTCACTGGGTCAGTCTACTGAGGAAGGCCAGAGTGACTGGTCGAAAGCTCTAGGTGAGAGAATTTTTTGTGTTGGACCAAAAGTTTTAACCTTAAACTTGTTTAGCATGTTGTTTGACTTGTGTTATAACCTTCTGCCTGCCTGTAAAGGTAGTTGTTTGGTACTAAATTTGTATTGGTTATGGAGTTAGGCAACAGAACAGAGAGAAGGTTACAATTCTCCAGTTGTATATTTTCAGTCAATAGTGTAAGGAAAATATAGACTAGTCATATACTCATTAAACAGTGCTACAAAAATGGTATGACTGTTACAGGTTTTGTTGGGCAAAACATACTTTACAAGACTACTATACCGAAAGCTCCAAACATCATTGTGGTATTTCTACAACATACATTACCCCAACACTAGGATATCTAATAGATATCCTAGTGTTGGGGTAATGTATGTAGATGCTATCAAGCAGTCTTTTCCATGGTACTGGTTTGTCTTCGTTTCAAAAGATGCCAACTGATTCAACATTTAACAACACGGTAAAACACACACAGTACAACCAGTCAACCAACAACTCTATACTAATTGTGATAGGTCAACCAATGTTGTAGTCATGTGTAGTCTAGTGCTACTAGAATGGAAAGTTCAGGATATAACCCACAAGTCGGTCACTTGATTTCTTAAAAGGTTTCCTAATTGCTTTTGCTTTCATTGGTAAGGCCACAGCAAGTAATTGTTATGGATGACATCAGCACGTGCATTAATTTTTGCCTGATTCTCGAAAAATAAAAAAAGAAATTTTGTTGCCTTCTGACAGTGGTCAACATGCCAAAAATGGGCAAATATGTCTGTTGCCATGCCGGAAGGTGGATGGCAGATAACTATGAAGAGCAGAGACAAAAAAAGGCTTTGTTTCTTACTTTGATGCAGTGAGATGTGATGCTGGCTGTGAATACATGTATGTGATGTTACCACTGGATAAAAAACATTTGTACAATGATTGAGTCAAAATTTTAAAATGTAGGAACCTTTATTTTTTTGGCCTGCCTTGTTTTTTTTTTGCCTGCTCACATTAGATTTGGAGTCTGCAGAGGATGTCATCCATAAAATTTACTTGCTGTGGCCTAAAGCATGTTATTGCATTTCCATTTCATTGTATTATTCTGCGATAGTTCTGTATTTTGCTGACAGATATTTCTCACGTCAGACTGAACAATGATTTAGCAATGATTGATTGAGAGATTAAAGCACAATTACCTGTGTCATTAGTGTCTCCAGTAGAGTCAACATGCATAGCTGCATGCACAATGAGAGACAAAACAATTAAACATCAATGTCATCACAAGGACAGAATCACACAACAAGTCAAAAGGATCAACACAGAGAATCAACTACACATTATCTAATAAATATTACATTTTTGCTTGATAGGATATTCATTTTTATTCAAGCTGGGAATCAAACCCTGCACCTCTGGTTCATTGATTCATATCATTCTGACGGGTGAAATCACTAGGAGAATTTCACTGATTTTAGGATGTAAGGTTGCAAGTATGTTATGTACATGTGGAAAAGTGATCAGATGAAAAGGTTGTAGAATAAAAATTAGGTGCCCTAAACAGAAATAGTGCAGGTTAGGTGCAGGTACATCAGAAATACCTGCACAGCTCCAATTTTACCTGCACTAACCTAGTACCCAGTACATGGACCAGTACAGGTTAGGTGCAGGTAGACATCAGAAATACCTGCACAGCTCCAATTTTACCTGCACTAACCTGCATATACCCAGTACATGGACCAGTACAGGTTAGGTACAGGTAGACATCCGAAATACCTGCACAGCTCCAATTTTACCTGCACTAACCTTCAAATGCAGGTGGTATTTTGAGCCCTACATGTGTATATCATCTATTTCTACTGCTTCTTGCTCAATGCACATGAAGACAGGAACCCTTACCTTTGTCATCAGTAAGTGCATGGCATTTTAGGAAGATCTTCTGTTGTGTGAGGGCAATGCCCATCCTGCCATCGTGGTTGGAGTTATCATATTGGATCTGAAGTGAAATTAAAACATAACACATGCATTCAAAAGTTTTTCTTTCAGACAGCATCTTTTCAATACTGTAAGGCATGAAAGGGAATGAGTTTCATAAAATCTACCATGAAAATATCATGATTTAAAGTAGAATAGATATCGCTACTTAGCTACTGCGCTTTTGATGAAATCACCAGTTACAAATGTAGAATCATTCACTAGTATATTAACATCTTCAAACAGACAAAAGAATGTTAATTGTAGAACATTTTGCCTAAGAAAACAGCAAGCACCATTTAGAATAGCTTAGACCACAAAATCAAATGACAACTGACCGTGACATTGAACTGGATACAGTTTGGAGTGCTGTACTTTGTCGTCTGCTGCAGATGTATGGATCGGATCACCAGGTGCACTTCCAGCTTGATCAGACTGGGGGAGCAAGTGAACATATCACTTTTGCATCTCATAACTCTCGGTAATACAACACAAGCCTACACGTGTAAAATATTTTTCTTACTTCAACTTTCTTGCATTCTTCCATCATAAATACATGTCTATCCAGATCATGAAACATACTATTATCACTGAAATCATAATTATTAGACTGAACTGACCTGTCAAAATTGATGGTGAAATTCTGCTTCTCCAGTCTGTCCCGGATTGTCTCATTTAGCCCGGGGGTGGGAGCTTTGACAAAGATGCACTCTGGAAGGGAAAGGTTTTGATGACAGTTTCAGCCAGTTGGCGGATTTTTGTCAGTGCAATATAGATCACCAAATGGAAGGACTAAGTGTTCAGTTAGGGTATATAATAATTCACTCTTCAAAATTTGACGATGGAAGTTGATGAATATGATTATAACTATATAAACCGTAATAACTTTTTCATCATTTAATGAATGTAAAACATGTGCTATACACACACCTTTTACCACAGCAGGGTCAAAAATGTAGGTGTTATTGTCGGCAAAAATCACTCCACTCTGGAAGTTCTCGTGGCATATCTGCATGGGCATGGGTTTTCCATTCACATCGGCAAAGTCATAGGATCCTATAGCATCTTCCTTGATGTTATAAAACTGTAGAGGAAAAAATACAACAATGAGAAAGGAAAACTTCCTTATGAAATAACTTTAAAGGTTTTTTGATTCCATAGGGGCAGTGAGTTCCACTGTATCTAGGGTACAGTACATGTATTATATTTATAAGGGAGCACATCCCTCTCCTTCCACTGCCTTTTACCTCCCCAACCAAAGTCAGATACCAATTTTATACCTGGGTGGAGTGAGGAAAATCTTGTTAAGTGCCTTTCCCAAGGACACAACGTCTAGCCAGGAATTGAATCCACAATGTCTTGTCTGCTAGCCACTACCCATATGATGCCACCATAACCTTATTAATACACTTTTTTTTTATATTCCAACATGTAGTCACAAGACGTGGTGATGGCACACTCAAGTTTTTTCAACTTATACTAATGCCGCCACCAACACAAGGGACAACACAATACTCATTTTTACCTAAGCGAAGAAAGTTGTGTAAAGTGCCTTTCCCAAGGGCACAAGATCGGTGGCATGTCAGGACTCGAACCCGGGACCAATTGGTTCCGAGTTGAGGACTCTGCCACTACGCCCCACAACCACACTAATACACTTGCATCTATTATACAAGAATACATAACATAGAGAGATGAGTGGGTGAAATACCGGTACCTGTGTCCAAATGAAGTTGAGTCTGTCATAGAAGATTTCTTTGTTGTACACAGCGTACACAGGTGAAGTTTTAGGGTAGTAGGTTTGGTCATAGCCCGGGTCCCAGTCCTTTAGGAACAGGTGTCTGAAGGCTGTGGCATTTTCTTCTGAGAATGTGACCACAGAAAACTGGCTGACACCAAACAAACACACCTAGTATTGGATGGGTACATGTAAGAGAAAAAAAGGTATCATTACTACAAACTTATTGAGTTGTAAATATCGAAAACCGAAACTCTTCAACTAGCCTGATTTAGTATGATAACCATGTGTTGTTTTAGGCAGTTGCATAGTTCAAAAGTATACAACTGGACTTTCAAAATTCAGCCATGTACAACAGATCAATATAATTAAGTTATATATAACATACTTAAGCTAACATACATTTTATTGATTTTCAGTACTTGAAGACTACAGTTACAGACAGCTTTTGGACAGGTTTGACAGTTTTTGATTCAGTTGGGAAAGATTGAAAAGATCTGTCGTTCGTGGAGGCACTCGCTAGTGCCTCCCCCTTAAACATTTTCAGCACGGACACTTTTTGCCACTTCCACTGACGCAAATCACCCTTTCTTCCTCCATACACCACCTCTTAGGAGGAAGTTCCACACTGAAAGCTTCTTTCCTAGAACAACATCACTATGAAACAAGCTACCACATGTCATGATTGTTTCCCACATGGGTACAACCCTAAACATTTTAAGTCTATTAAATTTCAATAAACATCTGTCCTCACTGGCTGTACAGTAACCCAAAACATTTTAGTGGCTTCCATGAGCCTTGTTTGTGGTGAAATATTAAGTAAATAAAAAAAAGTTCAGCAAATATTAAATACCTTACCTGTACAGTTACCATGATGATCTTGAAGACCTGTAAGGTGAGTTTGTAAGGTTTCCTTCCTCGTGCCCTGTACTTCTCACAGGGGTTCATGAAGAAGTACTTCAGCTTCCTCCTCATGCGGTCCTCCATGTGGGGGGTGACAATGGACCCCGTGGACGTCACACTGTTGATGGAGATGTTCTGATGTTGGAGGGGAGGGCTGGTCAGGGAAGGGTCCACACTGTGACTCCTCACTCGTGTTGCATTCATGGTGCTGTTGATAATGCTCGCAGTGTCGGTTAGCTCTGTTGGAAACAAGGAATTGGAGATTTTAAACCTCCACTAAGGAAGCATCTAGAGTCTTTGTGAATTCATGCCAAATATGATGCATTGTGGGTAAGGCCTAGGAAAAAAATGTTGGTTTTCCTGTTTCAGTCCTGAAAAAAATTTGAGTCAGGTCGAGGATTATACTTTTTTCTTCTGTTAATTTTTATTAGACTTTGAAAATCTTTTAATGATTCAACTTATACAAATTGCAGTCAAACAAAGTAAAACTTGCATGAGGACACTTATATTTTCAAAGCCAATGCTGGAAAACTGATTGTACAATGTTTCACAATGTTAGATCATGAAATGGTCAATCAGCTAAAAAATTCATGTCCCTTGCTGGGGTCCACCCCAAGAAAAGGATAGGGTCGGCAGTTTTTTCTACTACAGGTCGGTTGGGAAACAGGAAACACAACATATTTGTTCCTATCCTAGGCCTAATAATAATATGTCAAAGTTAAAGTCCCCCAAGAGGTACAAAAGACGCTGATGCCTTGGTAAAGCATGGTCTGATGTGTTTTCACAAGCAAACACAAACACACCAAAAACAGTACTTCTATACCCAGAAGTATCAGCAAAGAGAGCAAAGAAATTTACAATTTACAGACACAAATTGACAAAATCAATAAATGTACTACAAGACAATCATTTCAATCAAAAAAAATTCTTACTGTAAATTTTTAAAGTTTAATGAGCACTGTTCTTAAGTTTGGGATGGCCATTCACTGCAAACTCACCACACCACAAACCTTCAAATTTGTTCTGTCTTCGTATACTCAACCTTGAAGATGACCCTTGAATGAGGACATCAGAAGATGCCAACACCGTATTCAAAAGACACTGCAATGTCTTGTTTTCACCGTGCCATGAAATTGAAGTGCGAATGATGTAAAAATTGATGTACAGTAGTAAGAGTACAAGACTTGACAGTGTATACAGGGTCAAGCTTGTATGCCAATGTATGAGCTGAGTGTATTATTAAGAGGGGAATCGGAGCTAGATGTTTCTCTGTTGTACAGTTAACATTTGCAAATTACTGCATGACTGGAAACCAAAGCTATGGATCACATCATTTGCCTCTGTACAGCACACTTTGAAACAAAAATACAACAGCTTTGGTCACAGGCCCTAAAATAACATTTCTACGAGGGCGACTAGTCACGGTCCTGTACTCGTGATCCTTGGCCTAAATACCATGTTTGCGCCTTCGATAGAGTAAACACTTTCAGGTTTTCTTAGATTCTACAGCATAAATATTCATCAAAATTTGGCTGACATGGCACTTCGATATATCACATAAAATCTGACAGAAAAATCTAGACCTCAGCAAAATTTGACACGGGAACTTAAATTATCCATGGCAGGAAATCGTCTGAAACTGGCAGGAAACTCGTATAAGACTAAGAGGAACTTGAAAAAAAAAACTTCGCAACAGCATGAAACCAATGCTTTTTCGAAGAAAAGAAAGATCTATACGCAAATCTTACTGCACCCACCTCTGTCCTTCCCCCCTCTGCACCTGCTCATCTAGGAATTAGACTAAATACAGACGCTGTTTTTGCTAAAATGATAAAATTGTTACTGATAGTCAGAGATTTGAGAACTCGGCAGCCATCTTGGAAAGAAGTCATGTCATTGTTGTCATGTGACCGACAGGTGACATTGGCAAATTTGGAAACCGAACAAAGTTGTCCGTTTCCTCCAAACTTTTCGTCAGAATAGGGGGAAAGAATCATATGTTTTTGATTGACGGTAAAAGTTTGACGATTTAATCCATAATGAGCGAAATTATTACAAAATTTCATATTTTGGATCAAGCCATTATTTCTAGGTTGGTAGATTATTTGCAAAAACAAAGAAAACTATATGCAACGCCCAAATTTACGCCAAATACCATACAATATAATGAATAGAATTTGATCATACAATAAGTATGTTTTACCTATCACAATGAAAGATATCGGGGGCATTTTTTTTATTTACATGCTATTCGTTCACCCCTTACAGTATTTTGAGTGGACTAGTCGAGTCTTCAAGATGGCGGCGCTCGATGAGCTCGGTGAGTCAGGACTTTCCACAAAATATTTTTACCACCCTTCCTTTATCACGTCTTTTTCTCCCCCACTCTCGAGATTTAGAGTATACAACATACCCAAGAAGCAGGTTCCGTTCTGGTTTTCTACATTTCTGGGCGGATTGCGGCAGAAAATAGGCTTTTATTGGTGTGTATGTGCGCAACGTCTGGCTACAGCAGACAGCCGAAAATGAATGACATGTACATGTAGCAGCCGGATAGCGCAACAGACGATACCACCGCTCCAACTTCACACCATTTTTCTCTCACAATCGCCTCATTTTTTTCATCGCCCAAAACTCCAGTGTGTTTGTTTTTCATGGGCGTTTGGTTCGTCCCTCCTTTTTATCGTAAAACTGGCCCCACCCCTTTGAAAAAATTTGCTGATGGTTGATACATGACAAACGTGGCTCGTGTTCAACATAGCTGTCTCATTATGGGGGCACCAGACATCGAAAAACTATATTTTCCAGATATTGCATTAGAAGAGACTTGACCATCATAACCAGAACTAGTGTATTTTAGCCCAGAAATTGGTGTAATCAGCTTCCCAAAGAAGTGCATTTTCTTCTGAGATTTTGTGATGTTTTAAACTCTTTTATATAATTTGATTTTAAAATAGTTGTTCAAAAATATGCAACCTATGATGGTGCTCATACAACTGTGCATTTATAGACAGATAACAGTTATATCATTATATGTATAATTTGTCAGACAAGCAAGTCAACATCTTGCAAATACTAGTAACATATATGTAGGTGACAATGTTATGACTGTCATTTGATGATCACATAATGACGTAATGATCATAATGCATCTATTACAGTATATACTATCAGAGATTTACTGTTTAGTTAGTTGATGACCTTTGACCACCCTCTGTATATTATAGGTTAATCAGTTAATCCATTCCTTTTATGGTGAGGTGTGGGGATAAACTAATTATCTCTGTACAAGGCACCAGGGTGCCAAATGTTCTACATGTCAAGCTATAGCTACCAGAACCAGGGTATTCTTTACTTGTGGTCAAGTTAAATGGATTCTCTTGCCAATGCTTGCTGTTCATTTGAGCTGTAAGGCCACACCAGTTGAATTTCTTGGTTAACGGATTCACCCGCTTCATTTTTTTCTGATATGCAAAAAAAAAATAATTCAGAATCAACTGCAGAATGCTCATATTTTGCCCTGAACAGTTGAAAACAGTCCTTTTCTTCCTAGTTGTTACAGTTATCCCATCTTTCAATTTCAATGCAATGGTATCATTAAAAGTTCAAAATTCTTTGTTTAGATTTTGAACCAGCCTGGTGTGTTGACTTCATGGCTCCTATCGTACCATTTTGGGCCATAATAGGATGCCTAGGCCTGTTTTTATTTTTTTCGCCAAATTTTTCTAGAAAAATCCATTAACCTAGAAATTAAATTGGTGTGGCCCTAATGCTGTAATGGTTTTTCAATATTGTCAGTGTAAGGATTACTCACGAAAAGACACTCAAATGGTTTAATACACAGATGGCAATATGGTCAATATTGAATCAATCAACATGTACAATGATTTTATAGAAACTGTTTTAGTATAGGCAATGACATTCAATAGTTGTCACTTATTACGTCTATGCACAGATATTCAGAAGTCATACACTTGTGTTATCTGAGTTATCAGTGTTATCAGAGAGGTTGTTAGTGTTGGAGAAATGATCACAGTATGTATAAATATGATTTGTTTATAATAACCTTTAGTACACAATAGCCATGTACATTTGTAAATATATTGGCGTTTCAACTTCAAGCAGACACACCCTATGCAAACTGTTATCAAACCCTCACCCAACTGCCTTATTGTAGATCATATGCCTTGATTTAGGTCGTTGTAGGGTTATGGTCAAAGTTGACATTTTTGACCCAGCAGGTATTGAAATGTGATCATACACACATCATTCGGGTAATTGTCAAAGTATCACCACTAATGTAACTGTAGAGAGTTTCCCGAAGCTTGATGGCAGTTATAGCTGACTATGAGGGGAGATTACATGTAGGTATGAATGATTTGGAAAAGCTGATACCAAGGAGGCTGATACAATATACAATATTCGGTTATATACCATGTACCGCTGCCACAGTCACGAACTCACGATCAGGTTCCTGTCAAGCATGTTGCCAATATCCCAGTATTTGGGGTGATTAATTGCAGACATCTTGTGTAAAGGTATTGCATATGCATGGACTCTGCAGGAGACATAATTCCACGGAGAATCTACCATAATGCTGTAAATGCATTATTTTACTTTTTGAGGGAATTTTCTTAACGTTTTTTTTTTCAGTGTCCTCATAATGGGAAGGCATAACACTGCAAGTGTGTGTTTTGTATTTCCGTTGTACTACAGAATTGATTCAGCCATGCACTTTATACACCACAAAAACCTCAATTCCCTCATACTGCAAAAATAAAAAAATAAAACCACTGCGAAAGTAAATGAATTTACAGTACTACGAAAGATGACACTCATACTCATAGACATGTAGTAACTGTAGTTTACACTGAAAAATATGTCAAAATTAAAGGTCAATGTTACAAGTCAAAATTAAATGGTAAATTGTCAAATCCTAATAAACTGTTGAAGGTCTTTTTGATGTTAAAATTTTAGCTAGTATTAGTAGTAATATACAATCGTACTAGCAACTTTAAATTTTTGTTTTGAGAACGTGCTAATAGTGATGCATACCGGTTCACTGGACTTGGATCTGGACTTGTAAGAATGTTTAGGTTCAAGTCCAAAAAAACCTAAAAGTCAAGAACCGAGTCCGGACTTATTACCATAAAAGACCATTTCACGTACCCCTTTTCTTTCCAAACCACCTAAAACCTTCCATAGATTGTAAAATCTTTGCTGCAAAATGAAGAAAACATTGCCATTGGGCATCGTCAAGTGTCGGCCTCCATGTTATGTGGCCACAGTTTTGTCCAGACAACATTGCAAGGTTGCCAACATGCAATTTTGTATATGCCATGGGTTTAGGTCCAGACTTACAAGTCCGGAACTGAACCTAAACCTCTGGACTTGAATCCGGACCTGAACCTAAAATTGGGTTTAGGTATGCATCACTACGTGCCAACATACATGTACCTGGACTACCAGAGAGAGAGAACATTCATTTTGTCTGATTTGATGGATGTGAGGAGAATGCTCTATTAGGACTCACCATAAATGTTATATATATATCAATGCCTTTTTTGCCACAAGGGATGCCAGGACTGTGCACAATTTATCAACTCTTGTCAGTCTGGCCTGTGTCCATGATACAGTATGCAGGGCTCGAAATACTGGGTACATGTGCACCTTAGTGCACCCAAATTTGGAGCTGTGCACCCAATGTTTTTCTGTGGGTGCACACAAATATTTTGGTAGTTTTTTTTTGTACATATCAAATTATAATAGTATGCAGGATATTCTTAGCATCCAAGTGTCAGAAAAATAATAAAATCTTTGTTGTAGTACATGTTTAAGATTTTGAAGTTAGCTCCCATTTCAGATTCAAGCTCAGAAGAGGAGCAGTAAGATCTGTAATTATGGGTTCACCACACCACGAAGTGGTGGTGAACCCATATTGCTTTTTTTCTGATGTTTCTTCTTCTTCTTCTCCTCCTCCTCCTTCTCCTCCTGCCATTTTTTAAATGGATTCAGCTTCTTCATTTTAGGGCCTAAGGTCCTGAAATTTGGTATGGAGGTACAGTGGGCAAATACCCCTAGGCGTTTTTTAAATTTTTGTGATACAGGCTTTTACAATCGTTTTATTTGCTTTTTTAGCGGTCCCCATAGGAAAGTACTGTGCGGGGGCGTACGCGCGTGACGTAATAAGAAAGAAATTCGGCGGCATGCCCATATATGGGCATGCAAGCATGAACCTGACGCAGCCTAATCTTTTCTTCTTGCTGATTGGCTGTTGGATTTGATTGGATTAACTCAATTAACACCTGTTCAAAGCCATTCCATTTTGACAGTATGAACTCAAGTGTTTTGGTAGGTACAGCACAGGCCACGAAATACGCATCAATTTTCGAGGGACGTTCTGCGGGAGAGTGCAGGACGCTGTGCGGGACTTCCCTCGGGAGAGTGCGGGACGTCCTCCGGGAGAGTGCGATACGTTTCTGCGGGAGAGTGCGGTACGTCCAGCGGGGGAGTGCGGTACGTTCTGCGGGAGCCAGACATTTTGCTCTTCTCTGTTGGAACAACGCAAGTTGGAGGTCAATGACCTGCGCCCGGCGTGTAAACAAGATTGGACAGGGAGCGGCTGTAATATCAAAGGAGCCGGCGGCTTCTGCTAGCCGGGTTGATAGTTAAGTAACATCAAGGTGGTTCAAAAGCAAACCTGATAAAGAAGGAAACCCCGTAGTTAATAGTTGAAAGTCTTGGTGGCTTGAGGCGATCGATACCGCCATGCTGTTTACTTTTTATGACATACAATGCAGTGAGTGATGTGTATCGCACCGAGTTAGCTCGGTTGGAAACGCGCAAGGCGGCAATCCCAGGCATTGCAAGTTCGAACCCCAGTGCATCGGACATAAATATTTTAGCAATTTAACATTTTTA